ATGGTGAAAAGTTAGAATTCATTAAATTTCAGAACCCTCTAAGGTACTTGTACAGTTATTTAACGTCACAAATCTTTAATTTTCAGGTTATTAAAGAATTAAGAAGTTAGACAATTTTTCGAGAACTCCCGTTTCATCATTTGAAGCAATGGTTGGAAATAGAATTGCTACATTTTACTTATCCATTGAAGTACAAAGAAGATTGTGAGGAGGAATGATATCGCTCCACTAAAGGAAGGACAGTGTATTTATATATTATGTAGTTTATATTTTAATATAAGTTTCAATTTAATTTGTATGTGAAATGGTACGATATATTGCAATACAATTTTATTTTCGAAGTCGTTGTTTAGGTTTTTGGAATTGTATTATTAGTTTCTTTAATTTAAATGGTAATAATATGAATAATATAAATAGTATATAACAAATTATATATTTATAATAAAATTTTGAAAAATAACTTTTTGTGACGAAATAATTGTCTCAGTAGATATTGTGTCTTCTGCGACTAAATAATTTGTCACAAGAAGTAAGTGAACAGTTTACTTCTTGTGACGACAACTGCTTTAGTGACGAACATATTTGGTTTATGCGACGAACACTTCGTCGCAACAATACAACTTTCAGCGACGAAATTTACTTTTGTCACAATATTTGGTGACGAAAACTTCTGTTTGTCACATAACACCTTTCGCGACGGGGCCTACGCGACGACCCCTGTGACGAAATATATTGTCACCTAATTTTTTTTGCGACAATATTTTGAGTTTTTGCGACGAATTCTTGCGTCACATAAAACAGTTTTTTTTGTAGTGAAACAATGACACTCTCACGTACGCAGCGAAACCAGATAAAAAAGTAATAACAAAGGAATTCATTAACAACATTTGCTCGAAATCATTGGATCCGACCCGATGTATGGATGTCTTCAAAAACCAAATTGGTCATCCTCTTGACAAGACAACATTTTCGACCCTAGCCATAATACCAATCACTTTGACTCAGTATTGTGCCAAAGAAGCACAACAAATAACTGATAAGTTGTGGTATCCTGGCCCTCCTAATCGTCCAAAAGATCTATATTTATGGTGTAGATTAGAATATGGAAATGTGTTAGTATATCTCCAAAATGCGAAGAAATACACGAAGAAAAACAACAAAAGTAAAGTCAAAAGCTACGCATCAAAGGCCATCAAATCGGTTAATATTTGTGACCAAAGCTTTGCAGAACCAAAACCAAAACCAACACCAAAACCACCGAGTCTAGAAAATGTTAATAAAAGGCTTATAGCCCTTTGTAGTATAATCATGGCTTTATGCTAATTAATATATATTAATTGTATATGCCAATAAGTATAAAGATTTTATAAAATAGTATTAAGTATAGCATAATTATTGATATATATGGATAAGTTTAAGATAAAAATATATGTTGGGTTATTAATTATCATTTTGGTTTAAGTTTTTTTTTTCTCTGTTCTTTTTCTTTACTTTTTTTTTCTCATAAAAAAACGTGCTATTTTCCTTTGCCTAAGAAATTTTAAAAATTACTATTTGATCCAAAACTTTGGGTTATTTATATTTAAATACAATTGGATTTACGTTTATTTTTATAAGAATTTCCTTTATATATGTTTATTTAATAATATTTATACTTAATATTATAAAAAAAATAATTCTAATTGGTACTTTACGTTTCTAATTATTCTTCAGCCCCAACATAATTATTTATCTCAATTTTGACCAAAAAATAGTGTTTTTTGTTAGATGTGAACAGACATGTGACCGGGTGGACGAAAAGTACTTTAAATCGAAAGTTTTGATGTGAATTGTGTTCACATTAGAACAACGAGAACCAAAAGTAAAATCGAACGAAACATGAGGAACGAAAAGTATAATTATCCCTCATATCTTATATATAAAAGAGTAGGTAGACAAAAATTGTCCTTTGATTTGAATTTTGTTCATTTTGGAACAACGAGGACCAAAAGTGGAATCTAGTGAAACACAAGTAGCTTATTTCCTATATAAAAAATTAGATTTAACCAGTGCACAATTATATATAATTGGTTGCATGCTTCACGTAGCATCTACAAAACTCTTCATTACCCAAATAAAATTAAAGTTCATAAATCGTGTTGTTGCCAATGTGCCATGTGAGTTTACTTTCTCGTAAACATCAACTAAATAATAGGTCAAAAGTATAATATTTTAGATTTATGTCACATCCAAGTTCCAACTTTAACTTTTTTATTTTATTTAATGTGTAAATATTATTTATTATAGTATTTCATTTTAAAGCCTTACGATCTAATTAAGGCCATTTTTTTTTATAGGAATATATGATGGATTTGATGAACGTACAATTAATTGCATGCTATTTGTGAAGTCCATATGTTATATAAGAATTATTAGTGAGTAAACACCTTCATTCGTGCAATGGAAGTGACACGTACTCCATCAAATTTATATAGGGTAAATTACAACTACCCCTGAGGTAGGGTGAAATTACGAAAAAACCTCTTTTGTTTAGATAATTACATTTATCTCATCAACTATGAATTTTCTCACATATCTACTCTTATGGTGTCAAATTCAACATAATCATCTAGATTATTTGGTATTTGCTCTAGTTTGTACTCGTTTTGTGTAAACATACAGTTTCTGATGCACCACAATCTAATATACACAAGCCAAAAAAACACATTTAATAATCATCTTGCTTCAAAATGTGGAGCTAGTTTGGCATAAAACGAGTACAAAAGTGATAATATTCAATATAATCAAGAAGATTTCACTAAATTTGAAACCACAAGGGTGGGCGTGTAAGAAGATTTATAGTTAAAGGATTGCTGTAATATTCCAAACATAAGCGAGTTTTCGTAATTTTACCATAGCTTAATGGTGAGGATGGTTGTAATTTATCCTTAAATTTATATGTCTTGAACTTGGAGTATTTGGGTCAATGATCATGGTCATGGAAATAGTACAGTACTCCCGCATTTACAATTATGATATGTTGTCTCATGTCTGGTGTTGTTTCTTGGCCCGGATACCCATGCTTCTTATGAAAAATTGACATAAAAAAAACATAGAAAACGCAAAAGTAAAAGTAAAGAATAATAATAATAATTAAAGATGAGAGAAAATAACCCTACAAATTGGTAAATGAGAAACATAAGATACTTTACTTTATTTTTGCATATCAAGTTTGTACTATAAATAAAACCCGACTGCAAGTCTGCAACAACAATCATATAAACCAACCAAAACATAAGTTATATATATCATATAATAATCTTACGTCCACATAACGTATATATTATAAATGGCAACCCGAACTTTATTAGTGGGTAATGAAATATCATCAGTTGTAGAAGAAGCCGCCTCCTCTCAGCCGTCGCCGCAGGATGCCTCCTCCCCTCAGCCGCATAAAGCCTCCCTCTCTAAGGAGGAGAAACCCTCCTCCACTCAGCTGCCATCTTCAAGCGTGGACGAAGCCACCGCCTCTCAGCCGCCATCAAGTGTGGACGAAGCCTCATCCTCTAAGCCGCCTCAAGAAGCCTCTCCGTCGCCATGCGTGGGTATTGAGATATCACCAAGTGTGGCATCAAATAGGCAAACAATATTGCACAGAGTGCCACACCATGTGCGAGAAAACAAGATGCATATCTATGATCCCATGGTTCTTTCCATCGGCCCATATCACCACGGCCGGTCGTCAGGGTTTCAAGAGACCGAACAACTCAAGGAGAAGATCGTTGATTTGACGTTGAACTCAAATGACAAAGATTTGTTCCGTCGCAAAATCCTCGAGCGAATTGATGAGGTCAGATACTTCTGCGGTGGAATTTCGACACATGAGTTCGATGATGATGCATTGGCTCAAATGATGCTTCGCGACGCTTGCTGCGTCTTGCACATTATCAAGTTTGATGTAAAAGAGGTCGACTTATTAGTTCTTCGGTTGGGACGTACAACAGTTGTGTCCATGCTTCGTGATTTCCTAATGTTGGAGAATCAGATCCCGTTTTGGATAATCAAGCTCCTAATCGACTTAGCAATTGAGGATGGGGATACACTGCTATGCACATTCTTGAGTGATAGCAATTTTGCGGACTATAGACTCACAGAAGTTCCATGGAAAGAAGGAGAAGAACCTTTGCACCTTATTGAAGCCCATCGCATTACTCTTGTCAAAGAGGAGATCGGTGCTGATAGTAGATCCCAAAATATCGACCGGCAAAATAACTATAGTCGAAGAGTTGCTTTTAAAATTCAAAGTAGCCCACGCCATTCAGTGACTGAACTTAAAACAAAGGGCATCCACTTCAGTCCGAGCTCTAATTGCTTAAAAGACATCAGGTTCAATTCTAACTTCTTATATGGGGTAAAAAAAATAAAATCATAGAATTGGGTTCATAAATCCCACATAGGGTTCCAAATAAAATCCTAGAAATAAAGACTTAGCTACTCGTAATTCTTATGATAAATAAAATAAAATAAATAAATTAAATAAGAAAAACTATGCTTGAATCTTCGTTGATCTTCTATGCTCTTGAATTTGCGTCCAAAGATGGATCCCCAATTGTGTGCTTGGCTTGGTCTTATATAGGGTGAAGAATTTGGGGAAGAAGGCAGTTTCCTTGTGCAATTAAAATCCCTTTACTGCGCAACTTCGGATTCTCGGACGGGGGTCTCACAATTTGCACTAAAACTGGGACGGGGGTCTCAGCATTAAATCTTCTGAAATTTGATATTTTCACTTTTGTCCCATATTTTTGCCAAAATTGCAGTTTTGACCCCATACTTTTCCAATTCTTCAATTTGTACCTAAAATACAATAAATCAACTTTTTAAGCACCAATTATCGTTAAAACACACCAAAAGCTCAAATAAAAAGATACGATAAAGTGTAAAAATATACACTTAACAGGGAGCTTTGTCTTCCTATTCTTCATGTCACTAGCAATTCAAAAGTGTTCTTCTCCAACACTATAGCCTTCGAAATGTCCTCGGAATCCAATACCGACTATGCCGTGGCATCGTATATTACTTTCATGAAAACATTAATTGAGAATACAGAGGATGTTAGCGAGCTAAAAAAGAAGGGCATATTATTCAGTACTTTGGCGAACGATAATGAACTGGTTCAAATGTTCAAAGAGATTGACGGTCTAGATGATTATGGGTCGACAGCTCTTCTCGACGTGCAAATGAAAATTAACAAACATTGTTCTATCAAGACTAACACGTGGATGACGGAGCTAATTTACAAATACTTCCGTAGTCCATGGACTGTTATTGCGCTCTTCGTTGCCACCTTTCTTGTGGTCCTTACTATTCTCCAAACTTACTACACCATGCGTCCACCAAAATAAAATTTGGTTGCTCTATGTGCGTACTTACCGTACTATGCATCAGGTTATTTTGATAGGGGATTTACACTCGACCCTTACTGGATTCTTCAAGTTGGTGGTTCTTCGACTGGTATTGTTATTGTTTTTATTGTTCTTGGTTTTTTTTTTATCGATGATTTTCCTCAACTTTTTTTTTTTTTTATCGATGATTGTTGTTGTTTTTTTTTTTTGTTTTTTATCGATGACTGTTCATGGGTTGAATCGGTTGAATATCGACCCGACCCAATCAACCGACTATTGCGTTCTTTCTCCACTTTTGTTTAGAGATTAAAGTGTGTTTGCCATTATTTTTTTGTGAGTGGTCTGTTGTTATTGAGAAATGAAGGATTTTCTGATGTT